TTTTTTTCTCGTCGGTGTCGTGGTCCCCTCCCAGGTGCTCGTCGTCTGCGCAGGAGCCGCCGCGTCGTCCCCGCTGCCTTGCTCGGGGTGGGCTTGGCTCTGCCGGGCCTTCAGCACCCACCGCCCCTGGCAGCTCAGCAGAGCGAGTCCTCAGCAGAACCGCCGCACCGAGTGGTTCCCGGGGTCCCCGGCTGTGCCAGCACGTAGCCCACAAGCTCATCTCTTTTAAATGACACAGGTGGAACCCAACCTGTGCAGCTTTCCTGTCGATGGGAATCCCTGGAAAAGCGGAAGCGAGGGTTCGGCAGCGGTAGGGTAAGTGGGGGTTCATGTGCCCATCAGGTGCTTTCCCAATCTGTCTACCCAGAGCAGAAATTGCCGCGAGTTTGTAACTGTAGGGCTCACTGAAGGACTTAGAAAAATGCTTATCAAATCGATGACTCCCCTGTTTGAAAGTGCACACGCACCCTCCGCTGCATGTTCTCAGTAAGAAATGGAACCTCGGTCTGTCCGGCCACCAGCTCTCACTACCAGTCTGCAGGGTGCACAGGAGACAGGGAGACCTTCAATAGCCCCACAGAGACACGCTCAGCAAAATCCAGACCATGGAGCCTACAGGATGAATGACTCGGTGTAAGCAGGCAAATGGAAAGGGAAAGAGGGAGAGCCTGGAGACTTAACAAGGCTTCAGACAAACCAACTAACCGCGCATGTATGTGCGCATGGCTATGTGAACGTGCATACGTGTGGATGTGTGCAGGGTGCATGCATGCCCACACGTTCACGTGTGCATGTGTGCAGTGTACTGTGTAACGTTTGCATGTGCACATGCATGCATTACAATGTTGCAAGCATATGCATGTGTGCACACGTGCACTCTTGTCTACGCACGTGTGTGTGCCCGCGCATAGGCACACACATTCTTTAACGATATGAAAACAATTGGGAAAATCTGAACATCAGATATTTGATTTTTAAAAGATCTTTAGGTGTGAAAATGGTGCCATAATGATGCTGTTGGAGAATTACCACTTAGATACTATGTATTCATTGCTCATATGATAAAATATCTGGGATTTGCACTAAAATAACCAGGAA